GTATCGCGTCCCGACCCGGCAGGCTGGTTCTGGTCCAGCGGGGTATTCCGGGACACCAGCGGCACCGTCTGGGCGGCCCGACGGGCTGCCGTACCGAGACGGCCGACGTTTCAGAGCCTTCGATTCGCCTCGAAGGCTCCGTCGGCTGGGCGTCCTTGGGGTGAGCCGCGCCGTCTGGTTGTAGTGTTGACCGCGGTAGCCCCCCTACCTCATCCGGGTTCTGACCTCGGAGGGGATCGGACGTCGGGTGTAAGAGTGCAGAGGAGTCGTTTAGTGGGTGGGCTCTAAAATCCTTGGGCCCGCGGTCTGCTCACAACACCATGCAGATCGTTGAGTCTCACATACCCCGCGCGCCCCTTTTGCGCGGGGACCTCGTAGGAGGTTCGGCCCTCTACCCGAAAAAAAAAAAAAAAAAAAAGCACCGGTCCCTGACGTGGCGCGAATGATACAAATTGTAGTCCCTGCGCCATGTCAAGCATTATGTCAGGCACGTAGGTGTAAATCCACGAGTTTGAGCGCGCTTCCTTCTGCATTTTGGCGGGAAATAACCGTCAGCGTCCGCCGCCTTCGGCTATCATCAGTAATTTTCGACAATATATTAAATTAAAAAGGCACAAATACGGTATTAAACTATTTAAAATATTTACCAATCCAGGATATACATTAAAGGTTCAAGTTTACTCTGGTTAACGTGATGAAACTGAATATGTAACACCTAGCAATATCGTTATGTCTCTTATGACCAGCTACCTTAAACGAGGTCACACGCTCTATACCGACAACTGGTACACCAGTGTAGATTTAGGCAGAAAGCTCTTAGAAGAAGATACTCACCTCGTTGGTACGTTCCGCAAAAACAAAAGACATTTGCCTAAGGACGTTATGACAGGAAGCCTAAAAAAGGGAGAATTTCGAGCAAAAGAGAACGAAGACGGTATGACATGCATGAAGTGGAAAGATAAACGAGACGTTTATTTACTCTCGACAAAACATTCAATTGGATTTTCAAGAACACTAAAAAGAGGCAAGGAAATAATAAAACCTAAAATTGTGACCGATTACAATAATGCTAAAGCAGCAGTAGACATATCGGATTAAATGATCGCCTACTCAACACCGCTACGAAAGTCAGTAAAATGGCACAGAAAACTGGCTGTGGAGTTACTACTAAATACAGCTTTGCTCAATTCCTACATAATGTACAAAGAAACTACTAAGTCTAAGATGGGGATAGTAGACTACAGAAAGATTTTGTGCAAATATCTAACAGAATCAGGCAAAGAAAACAACGAACCAGAGCTGCGATTTACAAGAAATACAAGAAAAAAGCATACATTAACAAGAAAAGAAGGGACTGTGAGAAAATCTCGGAAATATTGCTCTAGATGCTATAAAATAAATGTACAGACAGTTGACAGAATATATGCAAGAAAAAAGACCAAACAAGTTGTAACTTACTGCCCTCAATGCCCAAATGAACCTCATTTTTGTCTTCAATGTTATAATATTGAACATAAATAATAATTTTGAATATCTCTATTGTTCGTTAAACAATGATTCGCCAAAAATATGTGATTACCTCAGTAAATATTAAAGTTTTTAAAATTTCATTGTGTTTTAATTCACCCCTATCATAAAAATATATGATAACTTTTTTTCTAGATATAAAAATAAGAGGCCATGTTGAATATGTCTTGCTTGGGGCCACGTCAGTCATTTCTAATAGAAAAGAACACTGTAAACGTGCTAGACGGCACACTGCGATCATTTAAGTTTGATGCTTCGATGTCAGTCACCGGTGGCTGACATGGCCTGAACAGTTAGTGAGTCTGTCAGGCACCGGTGACTGACATGGCAGCTAACGTGTTAAAGAACCTGGAAGCAGAGTTGTACTTCTTCTTGAGTGAGTCAGAGTTTACATCCTTAGCGGCCTTTGCCCTAGCCCAAGCCTGGTAGCATTCCCGCTTGCGACGATGTGCGTCACGGCATGACCCACCAAACCAGGGCCGAGACCTGCCACCGACAGGCACCGCTGAGCTAGGAACAAACAATTCCATGCCCTGCAGCACGACGCCGGCAACCGAGTCAGCGCAGGTGCTAGGATCCTCTGACTTGAAGCAAATCTGCCCCCATGGGTAGGATGCAAAGAAAGAGCGCATCCCGTTCCAGTCTGCTGACCTGTAGTGCCAAACACGTCGTCTACCAGATGGAAGTGGTTGTGACGAGACGGTGAGAGGCACCACGCTCCGAACTAGGCAATGGTCCGATGACCCGAGAGGAGCATCGACCCATACCCGAATGGGTTCGGGGCGAGAGGTCAGCAGAAGGTCCAATAAGGAAGGCGAATGGTCTTCCACATCCGGCACACGTGTGGGAGAAGGTACCATCTGCGTCAGACCATTGGCAATGGCAAAATCGTGAGCAGACCTTCCCGCATGGTCAGTACGTGTTGACCCAAGCCAGTCAGAGTGGTGGGCATTAAAGTCGCCCAAAACCACAATTTCTGCGGTAGGAATCTGCTCAAGTATTCTGTCAGTGGACACCTGCAGATGCTCGAAGAGCCGGTCAATTTCCGAATTTCCGCTATGAGACCTGTAAAGGCACGCGTAGACGCGAATGTGATCCTCACAATCGACGCGCACCCAAAGGGTCGACAGGTCTCTGCCTTCAAGACTGCTGAGCCTACGGTAACAAATTCCCTCCCTGACGTACACACACACGCCGGCGCGTGGCACAAAAATGTGCTCCAGGCTATAGGCCGGGTACTT